GGCCAGTTTCAGCCTCCACAGCATTTTGCCGAGCCTCAATATCAGCCGCAGCAGCAGGGGGGACACGAAGTCCCACCATATTTCCCCCCTACGTTCTTTGACCAATTCGCCACAATGTTCTCCACGGTGCAGCGCATCGACACCCAAACGCAAGAGAACACGAGAGCCATCCAAGATGTGGTGACCCGTGTTGATCGATTGGAGCAGTCCTTCCCGCCCACTTCCCGCCAGGTCCAGGATATGTGGGACTACCACTATCGCCACGGGCATTTCCCGCCGCCCGACCCTCCGATTTAGGTCATTTCCGCCCTTTCCTTAAGCATTGAGGACAATGCTTGTTCTTAAGCTTGGGGTGGGGCATTTCCATTTTCTTTTACTTTTTCATGCATTTTTTAACTAGGTTGCATAACATTTTAGTTTTAAGCTAATTTGCATTCATTTTTCTTTTATTTTTTTATAAAATTCCAAAAAGATTTTATTTTCTTCTTTTCTACTTTCTATTTTTGCATAACATTTAGCTTAGGGCATTAGCATTCATGCATTTTTGTTGTCTGTTTATTCTCACCCCCCCCCTTGGATGCCATGGAACAGGTTCATAGTTATTGTATCATTATTGGTCCAGGATCTTGTTGCTATCTCACCCATCGAACCGGGACCACTAGCTGCAGTTTGGGATTTCATACTTGGGATCAGATGTTGGAAGCTTAAAGGGGTAAGTGATCATGGCCAGGTAGTTTTCATGAAGAATTATGCATGCAATACTAACAACTGTAAGATATACTATAGCAATGGATGTTCTTAGCCTTGCGGTCACTACCGCTGAGAGGATCACACTTGATCATGTTTGAACCGTTAAGATGAAGCACTGGTGCTTGTCCCCGAGTAGAATCCATATCCGGTCTCTTTACATCACCATATTTTTTTGCGATTTTCTTAGGATCTTAGAGAGTCTTTTAGTCCGCATATGGACATTTTCATTATTTTTGAAAAATTGCAAGTTTGAAAAGGAGCTTACATTACATCTTTATGCTCCACACATGGTCATTTTCACATTTAGACCATTCGGATTATATTATTACCCTCTCGGTTCCACTTACATACTCTTGGGAACCAAATTTTGAGTCAAAATTTTCTTGAAAAAAAAAAAAAAAAAAGAGAGAAGAAAAAAAAATTAAATAAAAAAAAATATAAAAAAATAAAAAAAAATTCAAGCTGTAATAATCGTAGATAGGTGACCGGTTCAATTATTGAACAAATTTTCCTACATTTTGGTCACCCGGCGTTTGATATTCATTTATTTAGGATTGTTTATTGTATATAGATCGAGTTGTTGTTTTTTTTCGCAAATTGGATGATGTTAGAGAGACTGTTGAGTCGAATACTACGGGAGGTTTGGGCCAACACTAAGTGAACTGATTCCTACAATGGTGCCCGAGCGATTAAACCCAATTACACATGAGAGTAGCCAGCAGACGTGAGATCAGAGTGTACACTTAAAAGAAGAGCTCCACACGAGCCCATCCAGCTGCTTTCTCCCTACTACAGATGTTCTTCATTGTATGTATGTTCCATTGGGCTGCGACTGCTCATCCCTCCTTACTCACCTAAAGGAGTTGTCCTGGCTGTGGTTTATGGTCACATTGTCATCGGATGAAAAATTCGTGAGGTAATAGCAAGATCAATTCTGACCATGTTGACTAACGGTGATCAGGTTCCGCAGTTCTATCCATTCTTTTTATTTTCCCTAGGATAGTTCATCCCGAGTTCATTTTAGTCTTGTCTTACTTGAGGACAAGTAAGGTTTAAGCTTGGGGTGATTTGATAGCTTCATTTTATTTACTTCTTCTTATAGTTTATTTTAGCATATTTCATTCGCATTTTAGTTAATTTCCATGCATATTTTCCTTTTGTTATTTTATGACCACTTTCGGGTTCTTTCGAGTTTTGTGAGCTTAATTACAGATTTTAAGGAGACTAGCGGAGCGGGATCTTTTGGAAAGCAATTGGACTTGGAGGACAACGAGGATTTTAGGCTTGATGGCTATAGAGGTGATGCATGGAGTGGGATTGTCAATTATTTGAAGGGTTGGAAGAATTAAACTTTAAATTTGAAAGCCACGGGAGAATTATTGAGTGTGCAAGATCGATGTTTAGGAAATTGCGGAAGTTTCGAGTGATGTGGAGAGACAAATTGGGCTCAAATTGAAGAAATATTGAAGAGAAATGGGCTAGAAGCTGATTGGACTCGAACTGGGCCAATTGATTAGCTGTGGGGGCCCAAGACTTGAAGAAGCCCAAAAATTTCCGTCGAAGTCACGCGGCCCGCGTAAGATTCCCCGCGGCCCGCGTGGATTCCTGACAAGGGCAATTTCGGGATTTTACTTAGAGCTCTATATTGGGAAGGTTGGTGTGCCTCTTTAGCCTTATCTTGGAGGTCCGATTTTGATACTTTCTCTCTGGAGTTTGGAGCATTTTTGAAGGCCAAGAACCCTCAAGAACTTCACCATTTCATCTCTTAATTCTTGCTAAATGTTTGGTACAATCTTAACTAACTTTGTTTCCTTGAGTTTAGTCATGCTTGGCTAAACTAATCTTGGTTGACTTTTGTTGAATCCTTTGAACTTTTGTTGAATATTGAAGAATCCATGAATTTGTGTTTGAATCTTTATGAAAATGTTTTGTGTTTTAACATCTTATCATTACTTGCATGTTTTTATTCATGAGTTTAAATGTGTTTGTGGTGATTAGTTGGCTAATTTCTTGATTAAGTAAAGGATCTTCAAATTAGCAAGCAACAAGTGATTCTTGTGTTAGTTTTACTTCACACAATCATAAAAAAACATTTTCTCCAACATGGTGGTGAAAGCATTTGACCCCTCTTGGATTTGGTGACTTTTTGGTTCTTAATGCTAGTTGACTTTCACTAATTACATGCTTAATGGAAATTATGACTTTGACTAAGGAAATTGTTATGAGCTTCTCTAACCATTTTAACAACTAAGAAAAGTCTAGGTAATCTCAAGCTTCTTTGATTACTATAGCCAAATTAAGGATTTAAAACAAGTATTGCACCATTTGATTCTAATGATATGTTCATCAAAAGTCAAAGTGAGGAAACTTTAAGTCAACCATCCTTCTCTTATTGATTTTACATCAAACTCTTATTTTTGTTGAAATTGTCTATTTAAATCTTAGTTAATTCTAGTTTGTTTCAAGTATTTCAAAATATCAAAACCCCCATTTTTATTTTATTGTCATTTTAGAAGTACTGTTGCAAAAAGATTTTCCATAGAGTTATAAATTGAACCAATCTCCGTGGATCGACCCCTTTACCACTATACACTATTTTAGTGTAAAAGATTTAGGGTTATTTATTTTTGTTGGCCTCGACAACCACCACTTCCCGCGATCCTCGCTAGTACCTGAAACACATATCACATAACACGGTAAGCATAAATGCTTAGTGAGTTCCCCCAAAATACCACATACAACACATAAGCCACTCGAGGCTATAACTCGGTATGACCCTCCGGTCAATGTGTCTCAGCGGGACCCTCCAGTCCCGTAGCTCGTTGGACCCTCCAGTCCGGTCTAGCTCATTGGACCCTCCGGTCCGGTCTAAATCGTTGGACCCTCCGGTCCGGTCTAAATATCACAATAGCATACATAAATCACAATACACATAATCTCAAGTAAACACATAACACATAAGACCCTCTGGTCTGCACATGGTTACCACTCTAGGTAATGTATAGTGAGAAGACTCACCTCGGGTAATCTCGGAAAGTCTCAAACTCGAAATACTGATCTAGCCTCCGCCTAATCACATAAAGTAATTTACCTCTAATTAACAACAATTCTCAAAGGCTAGACTAATCCCTTCCTATAATCTCACAGAAGGGGGGGGAAAAGACCATTTTACCCCTCCAATGGTCCAGATGCCCACTTGTTGACCAAACCCTAAAAGTTAACGAAAGTCAACTCCAGTCAACGGTCCAACTTTGACCAGACTCGTCGAGTGCACTCCGGTGACTCGGCGAGTCCATGCGTGTCCTCTGAATCCTTCTAAGGCCTCACTCGAATCGTCGAGTTAACCTTTCACTCGACGGGTTACCACTGATCACGAATAGCGGGACAACCCGATCCGACTCGTCGAGTTCTCTCATGGACTCGGCGAGTTTCCTCCATGGCAATACTCATTTAACCTTCTAAGGTCAGATCTGTTTCTCTAACTTATAGATCTGACCTTCTAACACCCAAAAATCACGTAAAGGTCTGAACTTGAGGCTCATGCATGGTGTATTTTGCTCTATACACCATTATGACTCCATTGAAGCTTCATAGCTTCAAGGTTCCAAAGTTACTCACTCAAAGCTACCTACTTTCTGGTTCTCTGGACCTTACAAGGTCCAGATCTACAAAATAACTCGAAAAAGGGTTTGGATGCACCCAAAACCCCATCCAAATGGTGTTACAAGCCTAACTCAACAACCAAAAGGAAATCTATTCAAACACCAGGGAGACAAGAGCTTGTACCAGATCTGAAGCTTGAATGAAGATGAAGCTGATCCACCAACTCTCCTCTGAGATCCTTGCAACACTCTTGACCTTCTTCTTCTTCAAAGAAATGGCCTCCAATTAGCCTCTTTCCTCTCTAGCTCACAAATAACTCTAGGGTTTCTCTTAAGGGACGAAGACACTGGTGGGAAGGGCCAAGGAGGCTATAAGTGCCTTTAAATAGGCCCAAGCCCGAAAGAATTAGGGTTTCTACCAACAGCGCTGACTCGGTGAGTCATCTTGTCGACTCGTCGAGTCCATTCATTTTCCACGTCACCAAGTCGCGATCCTACTCGACGAGTTAAGGCGCCAACTCGTCGAGTCACTCCTCGTAACTTAGAAAATAATACTCATTTTATCATACCTGGAAATCCGGATGTTACAATTCTCCCCCACTAGAATCAGACTTCGCCCTCGAAGTCTCACTGTGCAAACAACTCTGGATGCTGCTCCCGCATCTCCGTCTCCAGCTCCCAAGTCAGCTCGGACCCTCTCCACATAGTGATAAATGGGAGGAGTTGTTGAAGAGTGAGATATGGGATATAGATGATGGAAATAAGATTCTTCCGGCTCTAAAACTAAGCTACTATCATCTCCCTCCACATCTGAAGCAGTTGTTTGCGTACTGCTCCTTAATTCCCAAAGACTATGTGTTTGACAAGAATAAGTTAGTCGTATTGTGGATGGCAGAAGGATTTTTGTCCCAATCAAAAGGAAACAAGTCAATGGAGAATTTAGGTCATGAGTATTTTGAAGAGCTAAAGTCAAGGTCCTTTTTTCAACAATCAACGAATGACGAGTTAGGATATACGATGCATGACCTGATAAATGACTTGGCCACAAGTTTTGCAGGAGAGTTTTCCTTTAGATTGGATGGTGAAATGGATGTATCCGATGTCACAAATGAAACTTTTGAGAAGTTTCGTCACTTTTCACTTGTAGGTCTAAGATCTGGATCATATAGAAAGCTCAATGGATTAGAAAGAGCTAAACACTTGCGAACTTTCTTACTAATGTCTGTTTCTTGGAGAAACGATAACTTTTTGGACAAGTTTCTTGATAAATTACTTCCTGGATTACAGTTTATGAGGGTGCTAAGTGTCGTGAGCTTGAATACAAACCGTTACATATACCAACAGGTCACGAAGGTACCAGAATCCATTGGTAGTCTCAAGCATCTACGGTATCTTAATTTTTCTTATACTAAAATCACATGTTTGCCGGAACAGGTGAGTGACCTTTATCATCTACAAAGCTTGTTGGTTCATCATTGTAAAGAGTTATCTAGCTTGCCAAGGAGTTTTGCAAAGTTAATAAACCTGCGACATCTTGACATAAGTGATACTCCGAATTTGAACAAGTTGCCCTTAGGGATTGGTGGTTTGATGAGTCTACAAACTCTACCCAAGGTGTTTATTGAAGAAGGTTACGGGTTCAAAATATCCGATCTTAAGGGCCTATCCGATCTTCAAGGTCAACTTTCCATTATCGGGCTAGACAAAGTGGTAAATCCAATACAAGCAAAGGATGCCAACTTACATCAAAAGAAGGGTCTTGAAGTTTTGGAGATGGAATGGAGTGATAATGTGTTTGATGAATCTCGGGATGAGACAATTGAATATGAAGTACTTAAAGAACTAAGGCCTCATCCCAAGTTAAAAATCTTCAAGATTTTATATAACAAGGGAACGAGATTTCCTGGTTGGGTTGGCGATCCCACGTTTGATCAGTTAACAGAGCTTACGTTATATGGTTGTAGAAGTACACACTTACCAACACTTGGATGTTTAGGGTCTCTTAGGACATTGATTGTTGAAAGTATGAGTGAGGTGAAGACTGTGGGTTTTGAGTTTCATGCACCTACAAATTCGGTTATTGGCATTACATTTCCATCCCTTGAAGTTCTGAAATTTGAAGATATGCAAAGTTGGCAGAGATGGTCAATTAATAGTGGTGACCGACATGGAACTCGTAGATCATTTCCTCGTCTTCACGAGATCTCTATAAGCAGTTGTCCAGAATTAGCTGAGGTGTCAATCGGATTAATACCTTCACTCCAGGTTTTATATATAGAAGAATGTTCCGAAGAGGTGTTAAAAGGCATGGTTGGTGTGTCATCATCACTTGTTGAATTGAAAATATGGGATGTCAAAGGACTTATTCAACTACACGGAGAAGATTTAATGCATCTTGGGGCACTTGAACATCTAAATATCAACAGTTGTGATGAACTGAGATACTTGTGGGAACGAGAATCAGAAGCATGGCAGAGTCTTGTGAGTTTACAGAAGTTGGAAGTATCATGTTGTAAAAAGTTGGTTGCATCAGCCGAGAAAGATATTACTTGTGGGATTACCATGGAATCTCTTAAACTGGTGATGTTTATTATTTGTGAGACACTGGAGAGTTACAGTTGTCCAAATAGTGTTGAGAGGTTGGAGATACGACATTGTGATTCACTGACATCCTTGACCTTCTCAGCAGTGCAGGATCACGCATCCCCTCTCACTGAATCAATAGTCAGTGATTGTGATAACATCTCTCCAGAAAAAGACTTCGGTTTTCTCCCCAGGTCACACCTAACATCTCTTGAGATCAGTGGTTGCAAGAATCTAAACTCATTTCCTCATGAGCATTTTCAAAGTCTCACATCTTTGGAAGAACTGTCGATAGAAGTCTGTCCAAGTATGGACTACTCCTTTCCTTGTGGAGTGTGGCCTCCTAAGTTAAGAAAACTAAGGATAGGATGCTTAAATAAACCCATGTCAGAGTGGGGCCCGCAGAATTTTCCAACCTCACTAGTCCAACTAAATTTATATGGAAAAAATTCAGAAGTGGTTTCATTTGTAGTGGCACACGATGTGAGGAATACTATTACTACTCCTTCATCCTCATCATCTTTTCTTCTTCCACCATCTCTGGTTTCTCTACAGCTCACGGATTTTAAAGATGTGGAATCATTTTCAGGGGTCTTACCACACCTCACCTGCCTTAAAAGACTTGATATTTTCTCATGCCCCAAGATTACAGATCTTAAGATAACATCCGGCCCATCAAATTTGACAATAACAGTGTGGTAGTAGAAAAGGTATGTATGTCATCTCCTTGCCGATCACCCTTCTCTTAAATAAGTGCAAAAATTGTCTGTTTACTAATTTTAATAATATTATTACAATTAATAAGTATTTGTTGACAAATGTGAACGAGGGTTCTTTGACTTGGATCCTTCTTTGGATTTTATAGTTATTACGTCCCTTCTTCTAAATTTAATATCACAAATTTTTTTAGTTATCTTTTTGTATAAATGCAATACTTCTTAAGTTTTCAATTTCTTTATTTCTTTTCTTTTTTTCGATAATTAACCTAAAGTCTTAGTAACATTAATTTTGAAGCTTGTTTTGGTTGTTAATAAAACATTTAACCAATAATCAAAACCGGTACTAAAAGAAGAAAAAATTATAAGTGTGATAGTTGAATAGCTTTTAGATTATTGTAGGACTTTAACCATTAAGTTGCAATGTTCCCGTTTGAGGAAGAATTGAATGAATACTTGTATCTTACTGTTATATATAGGTTTCAACTATTTTATTTTATCTACATTGTATTACAACAACTTTGTGTTTCCTTTTTCTTTTTGTTTTCATTGATATTGTTTTCCGATAACCTTTTCCGTTGTTGAAAGAATTACTAGAACAGATAATGAAATCGTGTGCTATTTGGACTTCAATCCAGAAATTTCGACCTTTTAGTTTTAGGTTAAGCTCATCATCTTTAAATATTGATTTTGACAAATTTTATAGAAACTGGCACCATCTTAATCCATTCTTAGTATCTACTATATAATTTCAGACTTTCTTACAGGTTTGTATCTATTTCAAAACTCTGCATTCTGTTTGTTTAGCATGACCAATTGTTTTTTTGTGTGGTTATCCTTTTCTTATTGTTTTGGGGTCATATTTCTAAGTATCATAAGGATGATGTAAATTTACACATTGTTAACTTCTGTAAATATCATGACAACTTATTAGTTCTATAAATGAGGTTTATTCTAAGGAGGTTGCTCATTTTCTTTAGGTGAAAGTTGGAGCAAAGCTATCTACACCATGGCAGTGAGGCAATATACAAATTCCTTATTTGTGATGATGTAAGTGTGCATAGTTTCATTGATTGTACAGTTGTACGTACATGTAGTAAATATCAAACATAGTTTATTCTGGAAGTCAATTTACAAGCATATTACAAAAAATGATTATATTCATATATAAAGAGAGTAAAATACAAACATGGTCACTGGTATGAGTTTTACTAGGTTTAGTTCAAAAATGAAACCTTTTGCCATTTTGGTCCTTATTGCAAAGTTTCATATTGATTTTCGTATGGATTCATCACCTTCATCTCTTCCAATAAAGACCAAATTGCAAAAGATTTCATTTCTGGACTAAACCTGGTAAAAATCAACATGATGGTTGTTTGTAATGACATCATAATAAATGTTGATGTCATAATCAAGTTTCAGTTTTATTTCAATATTTGAAAACGTTATAGAATTTTAAATTCTTGCAAAGATCTTTAAAACATAAGTATTTGAATCATTTTAGAGAATAATTATGAAATTTTGATACAATAATATTTTTACCTGCTTTCTGCTTTGACCTTATTTAGTCAACTTAGAAACCAAATAACAAATATAAAGGCCAGGATACTCCAACACAAGAATCGACATGCAAAAACTTAATTGGTCCAATAAACACTTTTACATATCATTATCCAACACTACCCCAGCTTGAAAAAAGAGAAATGATGTTTAAATAATAAACGAAAAAATAACAAAATTAATCATCTTACAACAAGCGAGCCCACCGTCTTCAAATAGCTTGAGTCCATGATAACAAAAGATTTGACAACACATTTAAATAGATTAAAAATATTGAAAGAAAACAAGAATTGGTTGTGAAAGCATTATGCCTTTCAAGATGTTTTGCCGAGTGTTTCAGGGATAGAAGATAAACCAATAGTCTCCTCAATGCAGTGGAAACACCTCCATGAGATACATGGGGGATTCTAAATACACCCGCTGTAAAAGTCAAAAACCATTTTAAGGGTCAAAACCCACTTTGACTTTATGTAACCCAGTTTGACGGGATTTTAGATGATGATTGCTTATTAAATTGACATAATCAGTTTACCTATTATATTTGACACAGTAAAGTAATTTTACTGTCTAACTATAACTAAATTATTGGTGTTGTTAATTTATTAAAACTTTCATTTATAACCCTCTAACATATACTAAATTTATAATTTATACCTTCAACCATTAAATATTTTATCCTAGGAATTAACATATAATATCTCAATTTAAATTTGTATACTTATATAATCTATTTTGTATGATTGCATAATTTTATTATAGGGATTTTCATATAATATTTCAATTTTCAATTTTTTATTAAGTTTTAATATTCACGATATCGAGCTGCAAGATGAACCTAATGAACATGAATAGAGATTTGTTCATATTTGTTCATTTAACCTTAAATGATAGATAATGATCACGAACAATAAAATATATAATATGATATTTTTTCACAACTATAATAAATAAAATTATAATTTTCATTTACCACCGTTTTGTCAAACACTGTCATATTTTAATTTTATTACATATTTTAATTTTATTAATTATCATGGACACCAACTACATGAATATTACAATTATTACATAGTGCATTCGGTGAAATATATGCATTAAGTCGAGCATTATACAATATTTCTAATCCAGCTGAACGTTCTAATCTATTGTGACACCAAAGTGGCAAAACTGTAGGCATTGAAAATTGATTACATAATGGTCATGAACGCCTGCGATAACAATAGATCTACGATGTGAGATGTCTTGCAGGCCATGCCAAAGCGGAAAACAGGTCGACAAACCTTGTTTGTCTAAAAAATAGACGATTACACCATATTTATTAACAATGGGGAGTCCAGTATCCGACATAATCAACCAATATTCATTTTGTGCAGAACCCAATCCAGTAAAACTCAACGAGTGATGTACGTTGTTTATATAATCCTGAAAAATCATTGCATATCGTCCCCAGTTTTCTAATAACTCGTATAATTTTGTGCGGAATATCAGAGGGAAGGAAGGCAGCCAGTGATGGGGAATATCCTTGTTTGCGAGGAGTCGATACCAACGACGAAGCCTCCAAGTGCAAATCAAAAAGTCTCTTATGCTTACCACTCATAGGCTGAAAGGGCAGCAAAATAGATACAAGAGAAAAAGTAGATTCACGCGAAAGTAAAGCAAAGAACAACCACAGAAAAGGTAAACACAACAAAAATGGAAGAACACAAACCTAGAGGAGAAGCGCGAAAAAGAGGGAAAATAACGATTTGGAAGAGATACGAAGGTTTGACCTGGGAATCGAGGTGGCAATTTTGGTGAAAGATGAGGATAAGTAAGGCGGTTAATGTCCAACATGTGTCTAGTAATTGTAAAAATTTATTATCTTAACTACTAAAAGAGATAATTGTAAAATAAAGAAAGTGCGGACTGCAAAAAAGGGACGTAATCGTAAAAAAAAAAACAAAAAAACAAAAAAAAAGAAACAAAAACCGTGGCAAATCTATTAAACCGGAACAAAGTTGTGGCCGAATTGCAATTTAATATAGATTCTTGTTCACCAACCCTATGGGAATTGATATATGTATATAATATGATTATATTTTAATTTTATTATAAAGACGCTTATATATAATATTAGGACGTATGTGTATGTTTGTCGTGCTAAACAAACTTAAAAACTTTTTAATAAATTATCTTTTGTATACTTATTCAAAACCAATCGGTCTTATCTAGTTATGTAATTAGAAAAAATATCATATTACGTTTGTTTACACTCAAAAGATGAAAAAGAAAATTATATATATATATATATATATATATCTATATATATATATATATATATATATATATATATATATATATATATATCTGAAATAGAAAAGGAAAATGAAACGTAATATAAAAGAAGGAAAATACTTATAATGTTAATATAAAAGATGGAAAATAAAAGAGATATAGTTAATTAAGGAAAGTGGAAACATCATTTCAATTTGGGTTAATACATCATATCAATTTGGGTTTTAAGTTTAGGTGGTTTTGACTTTAATTAATGGGGGTGGTTTTGACCCAATTTTCGGGTGTGATTAACAACACCCGAGACACATCAAGATGGAGCAAAAGAAACGGCTGAACAGTAGCCAATACTTAGTTTATTCCCTATGGATGAAAACACAGTAGATGATCATCAAGTGAAATACCTAAAGTACCCTTGGTAACACAAACTTGCAAAAAAATTTGGGCCACCTCACTTATATCTTGTAATGATTGGTAACATCCTACTTTCACTTATCTGTTTATTATAGCGTCCTACTTTCATTCATTCCTATTACATTACTGTACTTTAAAATTTTCCAATTATAACTATCTCATCCTTTATCCAAAGTAGTTTTCAATGCTATAATTGATAAGATCGTCCAAAGTATAATGTCCTAATGAACCCGACTTTCCATATATAACATCTAGTACATAATCTATACCAATAATCACAATCAGATTCTCAAAGAAAGAACATTTGTCTGTGAGACTCTGAGCGACACAAACTTTCCTTAATTTGGTCATTGCTTGCTAAATAAAACTCACGTGTATAGATGTAATTGCAGAAACGGTTAAAAAGTGGCAGAGGCTTTATTCCATGTCGATGAAGACATAGTAGGCGATCATAAAGTAAAATACCTAAAGTACCCTTTACAGACAAACTTGTCGACCAAAGTTAGTATGAGCGATATCTTGTAATCATTGGCAATGAGAGAAATTACCAAACTTTGACTGGAATCCTATAAAAGATAAAGAAAACGTAGCATCTTTTAAGGGTTGAATGCAAGGAATAGCCATGTACTTCCATTGACTTGTTTATTATAGAATCCTGCTTTCATTTTTTCCTATGATAGCATTCTACTTCAAAAATAGCCAATTATAACGATGTCATTGTTCAAAGTATAATGTCCTGAT